ACACACACACACACACACACACACACACACACACAAACACAGTATGTTTGTGTGTTTGAGTAATTAGCCGTTTTGCAAGAACTTATAACTTGCTTTCCTACAAATGTCTCTTTTCACTAAGCAGTGATGGGAGAAAGTGACATACTTAAATGACATTACATTTAAGTAAAGTGTTGTTGTTTTTTAAACACTTAAAATGCATCCAGCTCAGTTTTGATGACTTTAGTTGAAGGAGTTATGACTGGAGTGTCAACAATGCTTTGGGTTAACAGAAGCTGGTCAGACTGCACTCCACTTCTACACCAAAACGAACAACATCTAGACGTCTCAAAACACTTCTTAACACAACTTTCTGTAGACTGTGGAGAGGCTGCAGCTTTTGTCATGTCAGAACACTTTTGAAACCACTTCCTCTGTGAAGGAGGGGCTTTTATCATCCCGCAGAAATGAGTATACTACACTACAGGAGAGGAAGACAGAACGAGCCTGGCTTCTTATCTGTTTTTTTCTACTTTCCGTCTCATTTCCGACTCAAACGCTGCAACAGCTGAGCAATGGCATGCTGAGACTCTCTTGCAAATGCGTGCCGACAATCTCCCATTAGATCAGCGTTCTGACCCCACTGTCTAGCGCTGCCTTGCTGAAAATAAACAATGGATCGGTCATGATCATCTGGCTGCTGAGAGGTCTGAAATCTTTATGGTCAGTTCTGAGAAGTGCAGTGGCTGTGGGAGAGATTAAATCTCTTCATAATGAGGCCAAACAGTGCTGAGCATCTACTGGTGCAACCACTCAACACTCTCACAAAACCCTCACTTCATCCATTTGCCTTGTCAGTCCTTGAGACTAATGCTCACTTAAACATTTCCCATTCAAACACACACACAAACCACTTCATATTCGTGTCCAACTTGGCTGTTAAAGGATTATGGCTCAAGGATGAAAGAGTATTGTCATAAAAACTTTCCTCCCATTTACAGGCTCAAAGAAAGAGAGCCATTTACTCAGGCCTGATAGTCGAGGTTTTACATGACATAGCTATTTATAAAAATATATGCATCACGTACGGTGTATGTTCATAATGTGTGTGTTCCTCTGAACACTGTATGTGACTATATCTGTCCTTGAAGAATATTTTGGCTTTCTTTGAATACAAGGAGATGTGTTAGTGCCCTCTAGTGCCTGGTTTTTGGAAACACGAATTCACGAATTTGTTTGCATTATATAACAAAATATCAAATTAAGTGTACTTTATTTTTTAAGAAATATGGCAAAACACACTTAAAAGTTTGTGTCACTTTGTGGCTGTCAAACGTTAAGATCTGTGGTTACTCTGCTATGACGCTTGAGAGAAACTGACTACACACACATCCACTTAAAAATGACATTGGAACCAGTTGTTTAAAAGTCACTGCAAAAACAGCTAAACAAATTAAATGACTGATTTTTGCAACTGTACATTCACAAGAAAATACAAAAGAGTTAGACAAAGAAAGACTAATATAGAAAACTCTATGTTGGCTTTCATACATTGTTTAAGTGGGCCCTGCACCAAACTTCATAAAGTACATTTGTCAAAAATGGATTTTGGACCGTTTTGGATTTTTGCACAGATCCAAGCATACAGATTATCTAGGAGATCCAGTTAAACTTAGTGTAAGCTGAGGATCCTCCATTGGTAAACAGGACCAGCGTTACGAAATCCTAATAATTTATCATTCTGAAGTCTTGCGGACTTGCATGCTACATCATGTAAACATAGTCCTTAAAGGGATAGTTCACCCAAAAATGAAAATTCGATGTTTATCTGCTTACCCCCAGGGCATCCAAGATGTAGGTGACTTTGTTTCTTCAGTAGAACACAAACGGAGATTTTTAACTCAAATTGTTGCAGTCTGTCAGTCCTATAATGTCAGTGGATGGGAATCACGGCTTTGAGAGTCATAAAACATACACAAACAAAACCAAATTAAACCCTGCGGCTCGTGACGATACATTGATGTGTAAAGACACAAAACGATCGGTCTGTGCAAGAAACCGAACAGTATTTATATTGTTTTTTACCTCTGATTTTCACCGGAATGTCTGAACTGCCCTGAGCGCGTTCGCGTCTTCTTCTTCAGCCGGCACATGAGGCGTCTTCTTCTTCTTGCTTTATGGCGGATCGCAGACTTATTAGTGCATTACCGCCACCTATCTCTCAAATGGACCATTGACACTCTTATCTACAATCCCAATTGGGAGTGTCAATGGTCCATTTGAGAGATAGGTGGCGGTAATGCACTTATACGTCTGCGTTCCGCCGTAAAGCAAGAAGAAGAAGAAGACGCCTCACACGCAGGCTGAAGAAGAAGATGCGAACGCACTCAGGACAGTTCGAACAGTTCGGACATTGCGTGAATCAGAGGTAAAAAACTATATAAATACTGTTCAGTTTCTTGCACAGACTGATCGTTTTGTGTCTTTACACATCAATGTATCATAACGAGCAGCAGGGTTTAATTTGGTTTTGTTTGTGTATGTTTTATGACTCTCAAAGCCGTGATTCCTATCCACTGATATTATAGGACTGACAGACGGCAACGGTTTGAGTTAAAAATCTCCGTTTGTGTTCTACTGAAGAAACAAAGTCACCTACATCTTGGATGCCCTGGGGGTAAGCAGATAAACATCAAATTTTCATTTTTGGGTGAACTATCCGTTTAAGGTTAATGTCAGGCCTGTATGTTTCTAAGCGGGTGTATTATTTTGGAATGTGAGCGTAGAATACAAATGCGGAAACTCTGGCATTCACACACATACACACTCAACAGAGAGCAGTGCAGGTGGATATGAGAAACACAGTAAATCATATGAGTGGAAGACTCGCTTTAGTGGAGTTCCCCTGACAGATACTCACACAAACCCTGATGTGATTCAGACTGAATTAAGTCTGACATTAAACACGACAATAAAAACCTTAATGCTCTCCAGTCCAGTTTTTCACATATCATCACATCTTTGTGATAGCACAAAATAATTATTGGATGCCTCCCAGAATTCTGGGTTTATTTTGTCAATTTACCTTAAGTAAATGCATCTAAAATGATTGTTTTTTTTTTAATCATCGCCATCTGAAGAACAGAGCAATTCACATCTGTTACGCAGGCATATGCATAATCCTAAACACATACCAAAATAAATGATCAAATAAAGATTAAGAATCAAAAATGCACAGACATGATGCATCTTAAATGAAACCATAAATTACTATTGATTTCAACACCTCTATTGGCTTATGAATGAAAACATAATGGTCCACAGAGAAAAAAAAAGTTAAAATACATTTTAATGTTTTTAATAAAATCTTTTCTTTAATAAAATCTCTTAATCCCACTTAAGTTTATTTAAATTTATTTGACTAAAAATACAGTGAAAACAGCAATATAATTACAATTTAAAATAGCTTACAATTTAGAATAACTTTCTATTTTAAAATATCTTAAAACGTGTACGTTACACGTTATAAATGTTATAATTACTCCAGTATTCAGTGTCACATGATTCTTCGGAAATCATTCTAATAAGCTGATATATATATAAGGAACATTTCTTATTATGTTAAGAATGTTGAAAATGGTTGTGCTGCTTAATATCTTTGTGGAAACCGTGATACTTTTTTAGGCTTCTTTGATCAATAGAAGGTTCAAAACAACAGTATTTATTTCAAATAGAAATGTGTCACTTTTGATCAATTTAATGTGTCCTCGCTGAATAAAAGTATTAACTTCAATCTTACTGACAATATTTTTGAACAGTAGTGTCAAGAAATGAATTATTTACTCTATCTAATGATCTCCTGCTGTTATTCTTTAGCATCTCTTTTAAGAACATTAATGAGAAAGCATAAAGGACGGAGGAAGACGATGGTCACTCACCATGGCCTTGGCTTCAGCGATGAAGAAGAGCTCAGTGAGAGCGCGATGGAGAGGAAGGAGGACCGTGATGCTGGTGGGGTCCTGAATCAAACCACTCTCCATAGTAGTGAAGAGCTGCCACAGCGGCCGCAGAAGTGTAAGGTCACAACCCCTGTATTAACACACACAACAATCAAAATGTGAGGTCATTACACTCTAAATGATCTTGGCTTTTTCATTACTCATATTTTAACTATATGGCCATTTCATTCGCCCGGTTAATGTTCCCCTTGCGGTGGGCAGGTGGCCATTTGCATGGGCTATTCCTCAACCTGACACCACAGGTACATATCTCTATTTTTCTCATACACGCACTGTCTGCTGCTGCTGATGATGCAACTGTGTCCAAACACCATGGAAAGCATGCAAATCACCCTGACATGTGACCTTGTTGCCATGGGAACAATCAAGGCAGAAAGCCACCGTCAGATGCGTTATGCAAACGTTGGGTAAATCTGAATGCTCGCCAATACAAAACACACAAATGGTTCTGAGGAAAAATTTATTCAGGTTTTCTAAACTCACCACTCTTCAGAAACAAGACAAAAGTTGCAGAGCGGAAGAAAGATCTCGAGGCTTGTTAAACTGGGCCAAGTTGAACCTGCCATCCGCAGAGAGCAGAACTGACCTGACAGAGCAAGTTCTGAAAGGAAGTTGCTGCCTCATCTCTTTAGAATAGTGGGGCGGCTTTAAAGCACTGCAGGATGAATTGACTACCTTTTGTTGGGTTTAATAAATGCTGTCAAAGCTTTTCAGAAAGGTAAGAAGGGACACACCATTGAGACGGACACTGCAGGAGCCGCAGCAGCAGGTGAATGGCTTTCAGCCGCTGGTTTCCTGTTTGCCGACAGGCCACGCCCACCTGCCACTCCCAGATGTCAGCCAGCGGGAGGTGAGTCAATGCCTGCTCATCAGCTAGCATCTGCTTCAGGATCTCAAAACCTGTTCATAAAAGTGAATTTATTAGCCAACTTGCAAACTGAAAAAGAATATAAAAGCAAGAAGGATATAAATTCACAAGTGGGGCTGCTTTCTTTCTCTTGTTTACCCTCTTAAGCCTCATCTGTGAAACAGCAAATGAGTTGGCAGACCCCATAAATGAGGCGCTGAGAAACCCATTTGATATTCCATTACAGAATAATAACATCAGAAACGGCAGAAGGTGCACGTTTATTAATTCTTTGATTAAAGGTGGACGAGACACAGGAAAGGAGTTCAAAGCTACTCGTCATCCAGTACTGACAGACATGATCAAATCGTACAGTATGCTCAGAAGTTTACAGACTAAGGGCCCGTCTACACTGAATGTGTTTTAGTAATCGACTATGTAAACAAGCGCTAGACAGACATTTTTGACCAGTGCACTCTTCTCGCACATGAAATGGTGTTATAAAATACTTGTGTGTGAATGGCCTAATCAGAGCAACTGGGTTGTGGATGAGAATTCTGTAATGGATAAACTTTACAGTAGAGAAATATCAGTACAGTATCAGTTAATTTTTTAAAAAATGTATCAGTATCAGTCTATGTACTTATTCATGCTTATTTTACCTATTTTTACATTTAGATCACCTTTGCCGTCATCCAACATGCAACAGGGTTATCATTAAATGTGTTTCCATCGTAGTTTATGCAAATTTTTTCTTATCGGACAAAAGTTTATCCTACTCAAAATGTGCATTTTTTTTAATTTATGTGCATCTTGGCGTTTCCATCCAGCGTTTTTTATGCGATATTCCAAAATGCTAATAAAAATAGGTGGATGGAAACATAGCTATTGTTAACTACAACTAAAATAATTAAAAAAACAATTACTTGAAATATAATAAACATGGATATAAACAGAAACTGAAATAAAATATAATAATATAAAATAAAAACTTAATTTAAGCTAATTTCTCTAGTTCTAAAACTTAATAAAAACTCTATACATATATAAAAAACCCTAATCAAAATGACAAAACTAAACAACAAAATTACTAAAACTAAAATGAAAACAGAAAATACAAAAAAACTCATTCAAAATATTAACGAAGACTATAATAATATATCAATGATATTAAAATAACACTGACGTGCACTAATAATTTAATATGCTGCTAAATGCCATCTTAGTGTTATTTTAGTACTATTTATATACTTTTATTGTATTATAAATATTTTTAATTAAATTATTTTTATATTTTCAGTTTTCATTTTACATTTTGTGTAAGTTAAATTTATGTGCTATTGTCAATTATATTGGATTTAGTTTTTTTCTGTTTAATTTTAATGCATTTTTGATTTAGTTGAAGTAAGTACTTTCTAATTTTTGTTTAGTTTTTTTTTTACTTATTTTATTTTGGCTTTATTACAATTACTGAAAATGATTTTTAATAGTTTTAAGTTTTAGCATTTCATACTGTACAATGTTGAGATGCCTAAATTCAGCTTATAAAACGGATAGTTCCTGTCCTAGATTCTGATTGGTTGAGTCGTGTTCGAAGCTGTTGTAAATTACACTACAAACATACACCTTTGTTTACTTCTGTGTGTTGCTCGGCAACCACTTTGTTGGAACCACAAGTGGTTCTGAGGAACTACATTGTTTGGTGGAAGAATACTGTTTTTATTTATATCATTACAATTTATTTGCTCTGTTTTATTCTGTGAAACCTTACTACGTATATGGAATAACCGTTTTATTCCGCTTCGCGTCGTGCCTAACAACGCCCCTTAGCTGTTATAAATTCACTGTAAACCATGGCTTCTTGGGGCTTATTGCTTTAATTTAGAAAGATTGATTTTAGTTTTTAGTGTTTTATCATCATGATTTTACAGTCAGCGTTTATGACTTGTGGCTTTGCCTTAGCTCACTGGTCACTGCCAAAACCATGAGAGTCCACCCCAACAACTGCCTTAATTAATTTTAAACGTGTTAGGTATGATTGTAGGGTCGGCAGGGCCACCGACTCAGCAGGAAGTTGAGTTTCTGTGGCTGTTAACGCTCCCACACGCTGAGAGTCACGGCCGTGCTCACAGACCCCCTCTGATTCTCAAACAGCTGTGTAAATGAAGCTTACGACTGAAAACCAGCTAGTTGGACACCAATATTACAACCAGAAAAGACTGTAGGAATGTGAGTCTCACGTGAAATGATGGTATTACTGTTATGGTCTCTAAATGAGATCGACATTTTTGTTTCATGGCATGATTCTAGAGCACAACTAGACAGTGGCAAGAGGACATTAGCGATAGACATCAAAAGAGACATTAAATAATTAAATGAGAACACATTGCATACCAGTCTGGAAGCGCCCTCGATGGCCACCAGTCACAGTAAACTTGTAGCCCCATTCTGTGTTACTCATATCTGATATAAACCTGTAGTAGAGAGTGTCCCCTAGAGGAGAAAGAGGAAAAAACAACCTTTACATTCTGCTCATTTCTCATTAACCCCAAAGTGAAAATTGATGTACATCAGCAAATATACGAATGTGTAGAAAAATTTGTGAACCCTGCAGATTGACCTGGATTTCTAAACTGGCCATAAAATTCAAGAGACAAACACATTTCACTTAAACCAGAGGTGGGCCACAAAAGGAGTGCCAGGGGGCAGTGAAAACTGAGAGAAAAGTGTGTTTAAGAAAGTTTGTATGATCTTTATTAAATATGTTTAATACAATAGCACTGCTGTAGAACAATATGTATATTATTGTTTATAATAATATGGGTCCCACTTTATATTAAGTGGCCTTAACTACTATGTACCTACATCAAAAAATAAGTACAATGTACTTATTGTGTTCATATTGTATTGCAAAACACTTTTGCTGCTATTGAGGTGGGATATGGGTAAGGTTAGGGACAGGTTTGGTGGTATGGGTAGGTTTAAGGGTGGGTTAAGGTGTAAGGGATGGGTCAACAGTGTAATTATAAATATAGTTACAGAAATTAATTGCAGATGTAATTACATGCAGGCATTTTTAAATTATAAGTACAATGTAAAAACATGTATGCACACAATAAGTGCATTGTACCAAATGATGAATTTAAATGTAAGTACATAGTAGTTAAGGCCACTTAATATAGTGGGACTGTGGGACCATAATATGCTATATTATTGCATTTGAATCTCCCTGGAAAGGCTCTCCTTCAGATTTATAATAATGGGTTAAAAAAAACAACATGCTTTCAATCTTAATACAAAGTCAATATTTTAAAGATGATATTTAAAGCATTTGCTTTTGCTGTAGTACAAAAAAAAGTTCATTTTGGAAGTACTGGATTTAATAACAGATTTTCCTCCAACATGTCCTGCAACTGCAATCTGAACAAAGCAAACACCAGTCCTTTATGATTCATTTATAAACAAATATCATTCAAACATTCCACTTTTTCAAATTCTCACCTGGAATCTCAAAGTCGGTCCATTTCTGGTGAGAACCACTGAAAGTATGCAGGTCCTGCAGGAAGTCACTGCTGCTGGCCATAAGGAGCTCATCACACCCTTCCTCTGTGTGACAGCGAGAGTCGAACTTCACAGACAGGAAGATGGCTCCAGGGATGTGCACCTTATCCTGAGACAACGCAAATAATGACATGGAGTGGACCAGGAAAACGCAACTATGATCAAGTGATTTGGAGTAAAAGAAAATCCAATTCATACCTCAAAGTTAGTGTTGTTGTCGTAGGGGTGCTTGGATTCACGGACCTGCACAGCCATTCCTGGCTCCTCCATAAACTGACATGCTGTCAGTGACAGATTACCCAGCATGCTCTGGCTGCAGCCCCTCAGAACCTTCTGCAAGATCTGAGATCCATCATGTGTATGAATTATATGCATACCAACAATCTGATTTGATTTAGTTGAATGGCTTATTCATTTATTTATATACTTATTAAATATTTATTATACAATAAAATAAAATGCCACATTTGTTGCATTTAAAAAAATGCAAAGTACAGTTTCATGGCCAGAATGAAATCATTCTGGCCTGTAAATGTTCCCAGCTGGTTTGGCAAAAGCTCATTTTAAATCCTGACTACAGATCCACACACTCCTTCCCCTCCTCACCTTCTCCCACATCGGTCTCTCCTCTAGTTGCATGAGCATGTCCAGTATGTAGGCCATGTGAGAAGCTCCGCTCAGCTCCAGGTCTTCCTCTCTGATGGGAGTGTCAGAGGGCCAGTCGGCCAGCAGCGTCGCCAACACGTGACGTGCGTACAGAATAGCAATGGCTTCATTCACTTTGAAAAGGTACTGTCGCACTGCTTTGTTACTGCGAGCATCCAGCTCTTTATGCAACAGAGCTGAGCTTTTGGTGCGCCGCTGTTTAGCATAACTCAGCTGGAGGTCGCTCTCTGTGTTGGTGATGAGTTTCTGCGTGACGACATTTGTTTCTTCTGTGGCTCGATCACACCGGGTGGGTTTAGACTGAGTGTCAAAGAAAATGGAGCAAATTAACGTTAACTTTAGATCACAAAATGGAATATGTTTCATTTTAAACTTAGTCTTACCACACAGGGCACAATGATAATATCAGTATCTACAGCCTTGGTACTTCTTTCCTCAGAACGAGGTCTTTTAGATGGTTGCCACTTCTGTGCCAGTGTACGAATAGTCTCGTCGGTTTTTATAGCGTCACCATCAAACCTGAGATATGAAATGTTAGGGGGGAAAAAAGGATTATGTGCGATAAAGCCTTTGAATTCATTTTATACAGTTGAGAAATACACAAGAATTATTTGTAATTTTGTTCACAAGTTTACACAGAAAATGCAAGCTCTTTAGCACTTTGTAGATATTAAGAGGGATCAATTAAAATTGATGATGCTATCTCAAGATTTTCAAAAAAAAATGAAATGTGTAGTGATAATTATTACTTTATTATTATTATTATTATGAAACTCAATAATAATAATGTTCAATTTACATGCATTAAGCAGATGTTCTTATCCAAAACAATTTACAATAGAGGAACATGAGAATAAATCACAAAGTAATCAATATTAATAGTGTATAATGATATTACATTATTAGATATTATTAGATTTTTATATACTAAATACTATTTTCTTTTAATAAACAGAATGGTCACTGAACTAAAAGTCACGCAATGAGGCAACATATGCCTACATATGCATGTACATTCCTAGAAATAAATTCTAAACCTTGACTATGTAAATGAAATGATAATTCAAAGTGTAACTCACCTCTTCTGTACCTCAAGGAAGAAAGAATCGGTTCTCTTCATCTGGAGCTCATACATGGCTCTCAAGATGTGCAGTGGGGCATTAAGAGCATCATGGGTAATCTAACAACAAGACAAACATGAGAGCTCTAATAAATGTTCCTACATTCCAGTACTGTGAATTATCTGCCCCCTTTCTTGCTCCAGTTCCTAACTGGTGAGAAGCAATTACAACACTCAACCAATCTGATCATTCTAGATCAAACTGCTGCAAGAGAGCTGAAAAAGGCCCACGACTGACAGCAGATGTGTGTCTGAAGCCTGACCTGGAAACAGATCTTTGTCTCTTCATCCAGTCCTTCCAGTGGATCCAGTCTGTTTGGATCGACATCATCAGCGCAGCAGCTGGAGTGATCCGAGTCATGCTCTCTCTCTCTCTCCTTCTCTCCATCGGTCTCGGTGTCTGCGTCCTCTGCCATGGAGTGGATCTCTCGCTTGGAGGAATAAAGCATGATGGAGAGGATCTCTAGGTCTCGCAAAAGCCACATCTTGCTGAAGCCTGTGCCCTTGCTGCACTTGCGGACCAGAAGCTGCATCAGGCCAGAGCCCTGGATGGCCTCTTGGGCTTGATCCACCCCATGCTTCTGCAAGAAATAGAGGAAAATCAACACAATCATGACTTGTTCAAGTTGAGTATTTATGTAATGGCCCCAAAACATATTTGGAAACTAAAGTCATAATTAAGCATCTAAACATTTCATTGCATCAGATAAAATAGAAATAAATATAATATATAACATAGAATATCAAAACTAAGCATTTATTTCAAAGCAAGATAGCACAACACACTATTCAAGCAAAACATGTCACAAAAGGAAGTAAAAAAAACAAACAAACAAACAAAATATATGTACACACAACTATGCTCCTTCAAAATTATTATAAACTATAATGTATATACATTTGTATTCATGCATGTATGTATTTATTACTTCAGGATGTCACATAATCCTTTATAAATAATTCTAATATGCTGATTTGGTGCTCAATAAACATCTTACTATCAACGTTGAAAATAGTTGCTTAATATTTTTGTGGAAACCGTAATGCATTGTTTTCAGGATTCAGTTGAATTAATCAATTAATGTGAGCTAATTCTTATTGACCCCAAACTTTTGGATGGTAGTGTGTGTGTACATACATAAGTGTGTGAAATATATGATATATGAGATATGAGATATAAATATGACATATATGAAATATATGAGATATATATGTATATATAATATGTAATTAAACACACACACACACATACATATTTATACATACATACATTTTGTGCTCACTATATAATTTGGTTCTATGACTTTAAACTTTAAAGGGTTAGTTCACCCAAAAATGAAAATTCTGTCATTAATTACTCACCCTCGTGTTGTTCGAAACCCGTAAGACCTTCGTTCATCTTCGGAACACAATTTAAGATATTTTTGATGAAATCTGAGGGCTCTCTGACCCTCCCATAGACAGCAAGGTAACTACCACGTTCAAGGTCCAGAAAAGTACCAAGATGATCGACAAAGTAGTAGTAATTTTTTGTTCACGACAGTATCATGACGCGAGCGGGTGGCGGCGCTGACCCAGATCCGGCGTAATGACGTCATCACACCGGATCTGGGTTAGCGCCGCCACACGCTCGTGTCATGGTACTGTCGTGAACGCGTGTCCACAAGTGACGCAGTAGAGATGAAAATGTGGAATAAAGTTGTTATTTTTGTTTTCTTTGTGCAAAAAAGTATTATCGTAGCTTCGTAACTTTACAGTTGAACCACTGATGTCACACGGACTAATTTGTAGATCATCTTGGTACATTTCTGGACCTTGAACGTGGTAGTTACCTTGCTGTCTATGGGAGGGTCAGAGAGCTCTCAGATTTCATCAAAAATATCTTAAATTGTGTTCCGAAGATGAACGAAGGTCTTACGGGTTTCGAACAACACGAGGGTGAGTAATTAATGACAGAATTTTTGGGTGAACTAACCCTTTAAACTTCAAAGCCAAACTTTTTTGCTGTACAAGGGCAGGTGTGAGGTGAATACCTTGAGAGTGTTGTAGAGTCCTTTAAGAGCAAGTGAGAGCACCCAGGTGGCCTCCACAGCATCTTGGACGCTGCTCTCCACCCCGACCTGCAGTAAGTGACTCACAATAGAGGTGAAGTTCTTCAGGTAGCGGCTCATGTGGGCGGAGGTCGGGGACACAGCTTGCCCCTCATGAGACTCTGCATCATTCCTGCTGCTGCTCTCATGTGCCTGGACTAACTGGTAGTCTTTCACTGAGAGAAAAAGTAAAAAATAGAGATGCATTAATGCACTTTTTTTGTTTTACTATTTGAGTGACCATGGGTATTTCCACAAAGCAGCCACTAAATGAGGCTAGAAAGTCCCAATTGAATAGCATCCTGTCAACTGAAATGTCCTCAGGTAGTAGTGAGGGGCTACTCATTATGACTATTAATCCTACATATTTCTGGTGGTTGACTGAAAGAACTCAAATTTAAAAACCAGTTCGATCACAACACAGCATATGATTGTTTTACTAATGAGAAATAAGCATAGTGGTCATCAAATATTTGCTCTTTAAAACTTTAGAAGTCAGCACGTTTATTTAAGAAGTACCTTCATACAAAAACCATCTGTTAAACCTGGGCAACAAGGTAAGTAAAGCTGACACACCCTTTGCAAATGAAGGTGGGTTGAAATGTCAGTGACAGTCTGTGACTTTAGAAAGACTCATGCAGCTCAGGGCTGCCAGCAGTGGTATTTTTACAGCTGAGAACATTTGAGAGATGAGTGTGAGCAGTGTGAAGAACCCGTCGACAGATCTTCTCTCACCTGTTCTCCTCTTACGAGTCTTGACGTCCACCACAGCAGCTCTGTTCTTCTCAGTGAAGTGCTTGAGCAGAATCACGTTGTGTTGTTCGTTGGCATTATCGATGAATACAGCCTGAGTCCCCATACACAGCACCTAATAAACAGACACACAGCTCTTTCAAAATGCCATAATGGCTCAGATGAGTCTTGACTACAGATGGCATGTCATAACTTCATACAGGCCTATATTATGTGTGCTAGAGCATGTACATGTGACATCTTGGTTCATACCTCAGGGAATCCCACGAGCACCAGCAAAGTGAAGAGGTTGGTTCTCTTGAGTTGCTGTGGTAACTGCTGGATGCAGTGATCAGTGAACGCTGCCACAACAGCACACCACTGAGAAGAAATATTCAGGTTTCGCAAGATGTCCGCCACAGAGCACGCCCAATCCAGACCGATACGACTGTTGTAATGAAAACACAGGTGATGGACACAGACTTACTGTTTCGTGAAAAAACTAAAAATGTGTTAATTAAAAATACAAAAACGTCCAACAAAGCTAAAGCTGTAGAGGTAAAGTTCAGCCAAATGTTTGATTTGAGGTCTTCAGTGTCACATGATCTACAAAAAAAAGAATCATTCTAATATGATGATTTGGTGCTCCAGAAACATCTTCAATGTTGAAAACAGCTGTGCTGCTTAATATTTTCTGTGGAAGCCAAGATTCATTACTTACACACACACACACACACACACATACATATATATATATATGTATCCTGCACTGTTGAACGTTAATGTATTTGGCCTCTAAAACACATTATGTTTAACCATATGTTACACATCCAGTCATACTACCTGTCTAGACACACTGCTCCCAGACTGAAGAGCAATTGAGTGGTCTTCCAGCCAGGAACATCAAGCGCTGCTCCATCTCCAAGGGTAAGTAACTCAAATTTGTCTGTCAGTGCCTCTGCCACAGCTGCATCAGCTTCCGTAGGAGAGATCCTTAACAGAAGCTGTCCCAGAAGGCCTAGTGTCAGGTGGTATGTTTCATTCAGACAGCCGGCGTTGGAGATGACCACTCTGAACAGCAGTGGCAGGATGGGACTCAGGCTGGACAAAGATAGTGAGCTGCCCTGTAGAGGATTAAATGTGTATATTAGCATATTTTGGGTTTCTTGGATGTGAACGTGAGACAAAAAATAGGTAGTTGAACTGGCTTCATTTCAGGTTACAAATTAAACATTTTCTGAAACCAAAAGCCTACCACTACAACAGTGTTGCCAAGTCTGCGGTTTTCCCACAGAATTGGGCTACTTTAACACTGTTGCTGCGGGTTGTTTTTCATGTGTGTGGGTTGAAGCGACCTAAATAACGTGATATTTAGCCCCTGTAATGCAAATTTTACCAGAGGAACCTCGCTAAAAACGTGTATTTTACCCCTCGAAATGCCTTTGGGCTAGTTTTGGGCTAGTGTTGAGTAGCAATTGGGCAGGTTTTGTTGTGAAAACCTGGCAACCCTGCACTACAAATTAAACTGGAATCTTTGTTGTTACCTGTTTGGTTGCAGGCAACATGGCTGCCAACAATCCCAGAATTCTCTCTCTGGAGCATTCGGCAAACACATGTTCCTGTAGCGGCCCCCGGGCTGTCTTTTCCTCCTGGTCCTTATATGCGTCCATGTTCTCTGAGTTAGGAGATGTGATAGTGTCTCCACTTGACTCTGAAACTGAGGCGAAAAAAGGGGATAAAATACATTTTAACATCTGTACTTTGCCGTTTTTGTCCCCATTTACACCTTCTATGTCCTGTTGTCTCCAATTAAATCCCACAAGACATTCAAAAGCAACAAATAACTTTGACTACATAAAGATATTATAGATCTCCTTGATTATTGAAGGGTACTAAGAGACAGGCTCACCTCTGACTCCAGGGGACAGTGTGTCTTCACTAGACACACTGCTGCTGCTCTCATGTGCCTGGACTAACTGGTAGTCTTTCACTGAGAGAAAAAGTAAAAAATAGAGATGCATTAATGCACTTTTTTTGTTTTACTATTTGAGTGACCATGGGTATTTCCACAAAGCAGCCACTAAATGAGGCTAGAAAGTCCCAATTGAATAGCATCCTGTCAACTGAAATGTCCTCAGGTAGTAGTGAGGGGCTACTCATTATGACTATTAATCCTACATATTTCTGGTGGTTGACTGAAAGAACTCAAATTTAAAAACCAGTTCGATCACAACACAGCATATGATTGTTTTACTAATGAGAAATAAGCATAGTGGTCATCAAATATTTGCTCTTTAAAACTTTAGAAGTCAGCACGTTTATTTAAGAAGTACCTTCATACAAAAACCATCTGTTAAACCTGGGCAACAAGGTAAGTAAAGCTGACACACCCTTTGCAAATGAAGGTGGGTTGAAATGTCAGTGACAGTCTGTGACTTTAGAAAGACTCATGCAGCTCAGGGCTGCCAGCAGTGGTATTTTTACAGCTGAGAACATTTGAGAGATGAGTGTGAGCAGTGTGAAGAACCCGTCGACAGATCTTCTCTCACCTGTTCTCCTCTTACGAGTCTTGACGTCCACCACAGCAGCTCTGTTCTTCTCAGTGAAGTGCTTGAGCAGAATCACGTTGTGTTGTTCGTTGGCATTATCGATGAATACAGCCTGAGTCCCCATACACAGCACCTAATAAACAGACACACAGCTCTTTCAAAATGCCATAATGGCTCAGATGAGTCTTGACTACAGATGGCATGTCATAACTTCATACAGGCCTATATTATGTGTGCTAGAGCATGTACATGTGACATCTTGGTTCATACCTCAGGGAATCCCACGAGCACCAGCAAAGTGAAGAGGTTGGTTCTCTTGAGTTGCTGTGGTAACTGCTGGATGCAGTGATCAGTGAACGCTGCCACAACAGCACACCACTGAGAAGAAATATTCAGGTTTCGCAAGATGTCCGCCACAGAGCACGCCCAATCCAGACCGATACGACTGTTGTAATGAAAACACAGGTGATGGACACAGACTTACTGTTTCGTGAAAAAACTAAAAATGTGTTAATTAAAAATACAAAAACGTCCAACAAAGCTAAAGCTGTAGAGGTAAAGTTCAGCCAAATGTTTGATTTGAGGTCTTCAGTGTCACATGATCTACAAAAAAAAGAATCATTCTAATATGATGATTTGGTGCTCCAGAAACATCTTCAATGTTGAAAACAGCTGTGCTGCTTAATATTTTCTGTGGAAGCCAAGATTCATTACTTACACACACACACACACACACACATACATATATATATATATGTATCCTGCACTGTTGAACGTTAATGTATTTGGCCTCTAAAACACATTATGTTTAACCATATGTTACACATCCAGTCATACTACCTGTCTAGACACACTGCTCCCAGACTGAAGAGCAATTGAGTGGTCTTCCAGCCAGGAACATCAAGCGCTGCTCCATCTCCAAGGGTAAGTAACTCAAATTTGTCTGTCAGTGCCTCTGCCACAGCTGCATCAGCTTCCGTAGGAGAGATCCTTAACAGAAGCTGTCCCAGAAGGCCTAGTGTCAGGTGGTATGTTTCATTCAGACAGCCGGCGTTGGAGATGACCACTCTGAACAGCAGTGGCAGGATGGGACTCAGGCTGGACAAAGATAGTGAGCTGCCCTGTAGAGGATTAAATGTGTATATTAGCATATTTTGGGTTTCTTGGATGTGAACGTGAGACAAAAAATAGGTAGTTGAACTGGCTTCATTTCAGGTTACAAATTAAACATTTTCTGAAACCAAAAGCCTACCACTACAACAGTGTTGCCAAGTCTGCGGTTTTCCCACAGAATTGGGCTACTTTAACACTGTTGCTGCGGGTTGTTTTTCATGTGTGTGGGTTGAAGCGACCTAAATAACGTGATATTTAGCCCCTGTAATGCAAATTTTACCAGAGGAACCTCGCTAAAAACGTGTATTTTACCCCTCGAAATGCCTTTGGGCTAGTTTTGGGCTAGTGTTGAGTAGCAATTGGGCAGGTTTTGTTGTGAAAACCTGGCAACCCTGCACTACAAATTAAACTGGAATCTTTGTTGTTACCTGTTTGGTTGCAGGCAACATGGCTGCCAACAATCCCAGAATTCTCTCTCTGGAGCATTCGGCAAACACATGTTCCTGTAGCGGCCCCCGGGCTGTCTTTTCCTCCTGGTCCTTATATGCGTCCATGTTCTCTGAGTTAGGAGATGTGATAGTGTCTCCACTTGACTCTGAAACTGAGGCGAAAAAAGGGGATAAAATACATTTTAACATCTGTACTTTGCCGTTTTTGTCCCCATTTACACCTTCTATGTCCTGTTGTCTCCAATTAAATCCCACAAGACATTCAAAAGCAACAAATAACTTTGACTACATAAAGATATTATAGATCTCCTTGATTATTGAAGGGTACTAAGAGACAGGCTCACCTCTGACTCCAGGGGACAGTGTGTCTTCACTAGACACAGAGGGAGTCTGACTGGCACTGGATGAGTCTGACGTATCCTGAGAGACAAGCTTCCTCCTTCTCTTCTCATCCTCTTCTGTATCTGGCTCCTGCTTTTGTGGTTTCTTGTGAAGAGGAATAAAACCAAGAGGATTATGAGGAATTGTTAAAAGAAAGTTACACAGTGTGTTTATCACACCGTTGTTAGCTATAACCTGGGGATTTTAGTCACATTCTTGAAAAATAAAAAGGCCAAAAGCTTCAGTAAAGTACTTACTCTGTCTGTAGGTAGCGGTGGGGAGCAGATAGCTATAGTGCTGCTGGGAAGTGAGGAGGTGTCTGTGCTGCTGATGTCCTGAAAAGAACCAGCCGTCGCAGGACACAGTTCACTCTCTGTGGCTGATTCGTTTGAAGAAAGCAGTGACAGCAGGGCAGAGGCTCGCAAACCTACAGGAAACAACAGCAACCCTGATTATACAGACACATCAACCAAGACTTGCATTTCTAATTAACACACACACACACAACTTAATTCTTAATAGATCATGTGCATTCAGATATATTGATTACCTTTCCCAGTCTGTCCCTTCAGCAGGCAATCATTGATGATGTCAGAGCAGTGGGTTTGCAGTGCCCTAGCGTAACCGAGCTTGACATCATTCAAAGGCTCTCCATCCTGCACGCTCTCGCTGATCAGCTCGGATGTGAACAGGGCGAGTGCAGCAAAAAGAAGCCAGGAGTAGTTATGTATATAGGGCTGAATGAGTCTGTGGCGGTCACTGATGCGAATGGTGACCATAGGGTACACTGTGATACGATGGGTGGGCAGATGGCTGGAGGTAGAGGGAAACATTTTTATAATAATAATAATAATAGCATAATAATAAAAATGAAAATATAATAATAATAATAATAATAACATAATAATAAAAATGAAAATATAATAATAATAAATTGTTTTACCACTGAACCTCAAGTTACTCCAAAAAATTGTATGTATGTATGTATATATATATATATATATGTGTGTGTGCGTGTGTAAAAATAAATAAAGAAATAAAGAAAATATATAAAAACATACAACATAAAACTATAAAAAAACAAGAAATAAAAAATATATGAAAAATTACTAAATAAAATTATACTGAAAAAAAATTAAATAAAAACTATATTAAAACGCAAAATAAATAAATAAATATGAAAACAACAACATAAAGTATCATATATATGTATATAAAAAAATAAGGATTTGCATCTTTAAATAACCAGATCTGAAATTCACTTATTCAATTGAGGTATCCAATTTTTCTTGTGTCATAAATTGATTAAAATGTATCTGACTTGATGTGGAATCATTTTGGTTTGAAAAATTGTTTGCAAATATTTTATATTTTCATGTTCATTGTTTAGTTGCCATTAGTGATCTTCTCACGTGTATTACCTGTCTGGGTATTTTTTGGCATTATAACAGCCAAAGCAGAGATCGAAGTCCTCACAGACATTACAGTTAATCCTGCTGCCCACGATAAGGCCCTGGCAGTGGTCACAGGCATACTCCATATTCACCATCTCATGGTCATCCTCATGGCCTTCTGGTTTAGCACCACCTGAACCAGGAGAACAGAGCTGTTCAATACACGCACTCCAACTTACCAAGTGTGTGAGAAATATACTGCTGCAATAAAATATTTGTGTAGTGCCTAACTTAATGTGAATGCAATGAAAAGGGAAATAATGTTTGATTAACATTTAGTTTTTGCTTCATTATAGTGTAAGCCACTGCTGACTGTGATGGTGTGACTCACTGAGGAAGCAGGTCTTGCACAGGTCCATATCTGTACACTGCAGGCACCGGTAGCGATGCCACGGTGCGATCCGTTCGCAGCCGTCACATGAAATCTCCACATTCAGCAGGTCGCAGTATCGTGCAATGAACATATGCATCTGCAAAGATCAAAAGTTAGTGAAAGAGCACCAAAAATGCACAATATGTTTAGTTTCATATGGGGTTTGCAAATAAGATTATTTTGAGGGCTGTTTGCAGTAACTTGTGTCTGAATATGTAAAATTTGCAGAGAGCAAAAGACACTGTTCACAGTTAAACTAGCCTGACTAACAAAAGACTAAGCAAATCCAATCCAAATATTTGTTCTACCTGAATAAAGTGACTGTCTTATGATTAGGCATTGATGGGTGCTAACATTTGCTTGTGTTTGCACAGATTAAACACTGAATTGTGACGTAAAAAGGTTTGCAGGTATACATTCAATAAACATTACATGCAAAATAATGCTGTAACTCCACCCAAAGCTAGTTTTTGTGTTAATTCAACTGTCTTCTTATTCAACAGTTTTGTTTCCCAGGAAAGCATTTATTTGATTTGATATCTGTACCTTTCTCTTGTCCTCCACTGAGGCCTGGCTGATCTTATCAAACCATTTCTCAAACATGCCATCCAAACACTCATCCATCCATTCCGTGTTCCTCTCGTAGTCGATGATCTCATCCTCCTCCGTCCACTGGCTACACCATCATGTCACATGGAGAAAATAACAGATGAGAAGCCAAATAAAACACTGGATACTTTTAAGCTTAGTTTGTGAGATCTGGAATTAAGTGTAGATTAAGAGTGTCAATATCACAAGAATCACAACAACGAAGCTGACCAAATGTGCCCTCAATATGTCTTCAACAACTTTACATTAGAAGTCAAATGATAATGATACTAAAAAAGAAACTGAAAGCTCCTTTCTCCTCATTTTATCCTGAAGTCTGTATAATATTTCACATTTACGATAGAAAGCATGGGAATTTTAAGAATAAAGTGAAATCAAATTTATATTATAACAGACCTTTCCTTACATTTGTATTGGGACAGTGTCAGTCACATTCAACATGAGCTACTCAAAAAACAACACAGTTATACACTTCATGTATCTTTTTTTTGTAAACATCCCATTTGATCCCATCCCATTGATTTTTTTTTGTTTTTGTTTTTTAAGGCTGAAGTCCCTACATTCCCAGCACAGCATATGCGTTCTTATCCATGTCTCATACCTGATGGCAATATCATGCACACTGATGTTTTCTTGGGACATGGTGAGCAGAAGATCAGGCAGTTTGATATCCAGAAACAATGATAAATCTTCTGCTTCCCAGCTCATATCCAGCAAATGCAGCAGACATGTCTGCACACATGACAGGGCGGGAAGCAGGGCCCTAAGGACACACAGAACACACAATGGACATAAGACATACAGAATGCATTGGCAGTCCTTGTGTAGCATATTTATTGCTACTAACTTCTAGAGCACACGACACAATGATTTCATAATTCACATTCAATATTTAAAAACCCACTTCTCATTCAGTGCATTGAAGCTCTGCACGGCCTCTACTAGCATGAGAACCAGCTGATGATACGAGTGTCTGACCAGCTCCCTCATCTCCTGCCCGCTGCCCACCAACTGAGAAAAGTAACTGAGAAAGACAGACAGGTCAAGTTAAAATAATAATATTAGAACAGTAGTCAGATATTAGTATGACATGAAATGGTTTTATAGATCAGTGGCTCTCAAACCTGTCCTGGGGACTCCCAACTAGGCTTGCCGCGATAGACGGTGCTGACGGTGATACCGGTGTTAAGCCGCAACACCGGTTATGTCACTTGCCCATCGCGGCACCGACCCCCACCGTCGTTTTGATTTTTTATAGTAATAAAAATTATTTAGTTCAGTAAAAGAACAGACACTACAATTCAAAACTGAACGTATCACAGATCAGATTTCATTTATCCAGTGAGGAGAGTGAGTCGAGCTGACTGACAAGAAGAGTGAGGTGAGGTGAGACAGACAAGACGATGGCGGATGATTTAGTATCGAAACGAGATGCAAAAGTGCCTGTTTGGCAATATTTTGGATTTTGAAAAGCCTGTTGACTTTTGCCGTTTATCTAAGGTGATTTTGGAAGTTTTTTTTAAACATTCGTTTCTTATTTAATTGGTTCCACATTGTTTGCTGATTTTTAATTTATTTAAACTTTGTGTCATTTATTTATTTATTTCTTTACATCAAGGTGTATGCCGTGCCTCCAAGCTTTCTTACTCGTTTTGCTAATAAACGTTCTACGTTTCTTATTTATTTGGTTAAATATTATACATGTTTACTTGGCCTATTTCTTATTTATTTGGTTATATATTATACATGTTTACTTAGCCTTTTTCCAGTTTTGTATACCTATTTAAACTTTATGTAAGTTATTTATTATTTTATATTAGGCATAGCCTGCCCTATAGCGTGGTGTATTTTTTATTTGTTTTGTTAATAAAAGTTCTATGTTTTATATATAGGCTAAAGAGAGTTTGACGTTGAATTTTGTTGTTGCATTCAAGCAATTGACGCCGAACTGCCGCTAATAAGCTATTTAAAATCGAAGGAAAGCGAGGAAAAGAGGGGAAATTCAAACAAACTAAAAATGAATAATTGCTTTACGCCAAATTGCCGCTATTTGAAAGTGAAAGTAAAATGCGCACGCAGCTTTTACAAGCTATTTAAAAGCGAAGGAAAGCGAGGAACGCCCCCGCCCCCACGGGGTTGTCACACGTCGATTAACCGGTGGGAAAATTTCCTCACCGTCACAACCCTACTCCCAACCACTGCACAATTTGTATGTCTCCCTCATTTAACACACTTCAGCTCATTAGTAGAGTCTGCAAGGCTTGAATTGGGTGTGGCCTATGAGGGAGACATACAAAATGTGCAGTGGTTGGGGGGTCCCCAGGACAGGTTCGAGAACCACTGTTTTAGATAACATACTTGGTGAAATCTTTCTGACACGCTAAGAGTTCCTGGAGAAACAAAATACAGGGTGCCTGGAAGAGGTGCGGTTTCCCCAGGGTGAGTATACACTGCTGGACGAGCTCCAGCACCTCACAAACACTCAGAGCCTGGGCCTTCTTCAGAGCCAGAGTATGAAGAACACTGAACACACACAGAAACACACTTCATGACCGCTGGTCAGAGACAAATCACCATATATGTGCAAGTACACATTGAAAATCTGGAAATAAACAAATAAACCTAGAAATAAACTGAAAGATTTGTTTATTTGTTTTTTTTGACAAAAAGAAACATGAAACAAAATAATAAATATTTAAAGGGGTCCTAGAATGCTTTTTCACTTTTTCAACTTTAGTTAGTCTGTAATGTTGCTGTTTGAGCGTAAAAAAGATCTGCAAAGTTACAAAGCTCAAAGTCCACTTCAAAAGGAGATATTTTATTTAACAGAAATAACTTTTCAAAAACTACAACGAACGACTCGTTTGGACTACAATGCATATTTTCCGGGATTTGTGATATCACAAATACCGACGAATGGGACGAGACCTGGTTGAGCTGCGCTAGAGAAGGCAACGAGTGTTATCACTATGTCGGAGACACGCTAGCATTCAAATAATGTGTTTTTCGAACAACCTAGTATGAGAGCCTGTTCTAGTACACCCCCAAAACAAAATCAAGACTTCGTAAAAGAGCATAATAGGACCCCTTTAAGATTCAGCACTAAGTCACTCATCAAATAAGCAAATTTGTGACATTGTCCAAATGCTAAATAATCATCTTTTGAGTCAGATTATATACATACAGTGCTGCTTGAAAGTTTGTGAACCCTTTAGAATTTTCTATATTTCTGCATAAATATGATGACGCAATCAAACAAATGAGGCAAAAATATATACTTTGTCATTTATTTATTCAAGAAAATTATCTAATATTACATATCTGTGAGCGGCAAAAGTATGTGAATCTCTAGGATTAGCTGTTCATTTGAAGGTGAAATTAGAGTCCATCTGTTCAGAGGTGTTTTTAATCAGTGAAATTACTATCAGGTGTCATTGCAGAACAGGGATCTATCAAAGTTTGGTCATGTTTGTGGAAGTGTATCATTGCACACTGCATTCCAGCATAAGAACCTTATCCCATCTGTGAAACATGGTGGCAGTAGTATCATGGTTTGGGCCTGCTTTGCTGCATCTGGTCCAGGACGGTTTGCCATCATTGATGGAACAATGAATTCTGAATTATACCAGCAAATTCTGAAGTTCTGAAACGAGAACTAAATCTCAAGAGAAAGTGGGTCATGCAGCAAGACAACGACCCCAAGCACACAAGTTGTTCTACCAAAGAATGGTTAAAGAAGAACAAAGTTAATGTGTTGGGAAGGCCGAGTCGAAGTCCAGAACTTAATGTTGTGGAAGGACCTGAAGCTCAGTTCATAGGAGGAAACCCACCAACATCACAGAGTTGAAGTCAATTTTTGTCTCCTTTGTTTGACTGGATTCTCTTTGTCTACTTTCAGTACTTGTGTGAAAATCTAATTATGTTTTGGGTCATATTTATGCATAAATATAGAAAATTCTAAAGGGTTCACAAACTTTCAAGCAGCACTGTACAACACCCTGGTCAAAAGTTTGGGGTCATTGAGACATTTTTTTTTTTTTAAGAAATTAATACTTTTAGCCAGCACAACTGCCTTCAATAATGATAATAATAATAAAAAAACATTTTGAGCACCAGATTAAATCTTAAGGATCATGTGACACTGAAGACCGATGTAATGGCTGCTGAAACTTCAGATCATAGGAATAAATTACATTTTAACATATATTCAAATACAAAACAACTATTTTAAATTGCGATCTTTTGCAATATTACTATTTTTATTGTTTTTAGCTTAAAAAATGACAGACCCCAAACTTTTGAAAGGTAGTGATTATTTGCATTAAATGTAATAATATTGATCAAATTCATTATTTTGCAATTATGCAAAAAAAAAAGAGAAACATTGTCACTAGAAGGCTCAAATGTACAGAAAATGCTACCAAAATTCAACAGATTTTGACACATGGATCAAATAGTATTCAAAAACATACATAATATTTCAGCAACTAATGGCTGCAATTTCAGTCACAAAGCTATTTTATTGTTTCAGAAGCAAACAAGTTATAAGGGCTACTTTTATAATAATATTCATTACTTTAGGAGGCCCTGGTCACCATTCACCTTTATTGTGTGGAAGAGCCAACAGGACACCAGAACAACACAGTATCTACTTTTGTGTTGCAGCGTAACATTAAGTTATAAAGATTTAGAACGTCATGAATGAGAGTAAACTGAACTATAGCTTTAAAGGGACAGTTCACCCAAAAATTTAAATTCTTACTCACCCTCATGTTGTTCCAAACCTGTATGAGCTTCTTTCTTCTGTGGAACATAAAAAAAGATATTGCTGGTAACCAACCAGTTGCTGGTCCCCTCTGACTTCCATAGTAAGGGGAAAAAAACACTATGGAAGTCAAAGGGGGACCAGCAGTGGTTTGGTTACCATAATTCTTCAAAACATCTTCTTTTGTGTTCAGCAGAAGAAATAAATTTTTAAAGGTCTGGAACAACATGAGGGTGAACTATCCCTTTAAGCGTATGCATCAAAATCTGTTGAATCATAGCATCATACATCTAGCCATTCACATCATGAGGTGAACATACCTGCTCTCATTAATGACCATGTCCTTCATAAAGCTGAGGATGTGTTTGAGTATCAGGAAGCGCTCTTTAACAGGTGGTGCCATGCAAGGCTCCTCCATAGATCGTAAGGAAAGGAGCCTCAAGCGGCCCCGACTGAAAGGTGCTTTACGTGGGAAGACTAACGGGGACAGAGGCTCTCCGGTCTGAGACTGAAGACTTTCTGAGGAGCCCGTGGCACCCTGAGAACTGATGCTGCTGGAAGGTCCAGCCTCCACTGGTGCGGAGAACATCTGGTCATGCTGACTGGCCCCTGGGGGCGTCGCTGCTTCTGCTGCCTCAGGGTTCTGGGAGATGGAGGGAACAGAGGGGCTGGGCTGGAAGTCTCCCTCTGAAGTGGAAACAGATCGAAGAAGAAGAGGAGCAGCACAAGCGCCATCTTCTGGTCTGGAAGGCTCTTGTTCCAGAAGTGCAGAGGTTCCTCCACTCGGGCTGAATCGGAAGAGGAACAAACTTCTACTTATGCAAATTTCAGCTGTTAAGAGAGTGAAAAAGATAGTGAGAATGCAGAAGAATTAGTTTAAGAAAATCTGCATCAAAGGCATATTTATAGCATCAATATTTACCAAGTGACTCCATTGTAACCTCATTCTGTCCGTCTTCTTTTCCCTCTACTCCATTCATTTTACCCATAAGGTAGCGCTGTTTCATTTCCAACTACCAAAACGGATCAAAAGGGAGAAGTAAATAAAAAGAAATATTATGTTATTTTAAAACCAAAAATTATAAGCTATACTTACCATCCACGTTCTGATGCCATCGGTGAGGGCATAGACCTGCAAAAGGTCCTCACTAAGACTGCTCTGGCCGTTTTTAGCAACTAATGCAGAGGAGATAAGAAAAGGAAACATGCTCAAAAGGACATTGGGACTGGGATTGACATGTATGACCGACAAACTGTCCTGTTCATACAAACATCTTACAGAAACAGATCAAATACTGTCTGTACCAAGGGATCAAGGTTTTGATAGTTTAACATGGCCCTGGAGTTTTAGGATTTTCACATTATGAAGCAATATGAAATATGAAGTACAATCAACAAGAAATATAAGATTCTGCACTGTTTGTCATTAACCAAATTTGTGGCATTGACCAAATACTGTTTTCTCTGTTCTATATATATACACATACATACATAAACACACACACACATTAATAAATAATATTAATAAATTAATAATTAATTTGAAATGTTTCAAGAGTGTGTGTGCAACATTTCTCTTTAGTGTTTGCTCTCTTGAACCTGAACGAAACTCTTAAAATGTATTTAATTACCAAAGCTCCTAAGACTGTGGTGAAGTGCTGGTGTGTGATACACCATGGCCGCCCATGCGGCGTTCACAGCCTGGTCCACTTTTGAGCCTGCAGCAATCTCGTTCCTGATTGGCTGCTTCTTGCAGGTCATCAAAAGGGCCCTCATTAACTCCGTCCTGTCATCAGAAGCATCCTGCGAAGGATCCCAGCAGGCAAAGTCCTTAAGGAATTCCACCAATTCATCTCCCAAAGGTGCTGGCTCTTCCTGCAGAACAAAATAGCACAAGACGCACAAACATGATTAGATTTTTTTTTTACTTTTTTTTTTTGGACTGAAACGCACACATAAAGTCATAATCCAAGTACTCTCACCGGGTCGGTGTCTGGGCTGGCCAGGGCTAATTTCTTTTCTCCAGGAAGTCCACTCAAACCATGTCTGAACATAGGCTTCCATAGAGGACAGGACAGGACATGGTTCATCAAGCCTGCAGGCAACTCTTTTACACCACGGATCTCTTCAAGAGGAAGGCAGACATAACACAAAACCATCATCGTAAGTCAACTAACTGCAATTTATATTGTGATATTTATATTCAATGTCGGTCTATACATTCACTTTTTTTTCCTTTTTTTTAGCATTTTACAATTTATTTATTTGAAGGAGAACACATTTATGTGCTCACACACATTTAAATTAAATACAAGGGATAAAATTAGCCCTTTTAAAATAATTTAACAGAGAAATAATCAAAAGTACACAATTATCACACCGTAAGGTGATTTCAAAGCCATGGTGCGGGAGGCCAGACGGCCCATTAGCCTGGACACGAGGAGCTGCAGATCTGAGGTCCAGGACACGGTGACGTCTGGCAGGCCATATGCTGTCACTGTGAACTTGTAACCCCATTCGTTATTACTGCTGTCTGAGTGGAACAGAAACTGCAGCTGGGGACCTGCTTTAAACGTCACTTTCTGAAGAAAAAAAAAGCATGATTTATTATACATAACATTTATTTTTATTCTTCTTCAAGATATAAAAAAAAAAGGAATCACATTCAAGCAAAGGCTAAAATGAATCGCATTGATTTTAACAAATTATCTTTAATATAATTACATAATTAACACATTTGGCAGACCACTATAGTTAAAATAGTACAGTAAACCGTTTTTGTACCTTTGGCCATTTCTCCGTGCCGACCTTCATATCATATCGCACTTTTCCTCCCCTAGCATCAGTGAATTCCAGATAGTCATACCTACCAAAAAAACAAAAAACGCCTAATTAGTGTAAATATAATACAAACTTTAACTCAAGCCACACATGTATCTGTAACAGGAAAAGTGTGAGTTTGATTCCTGTTTTCACCAGAAGGTGGTAGTAGAATTGTAGAATAAGCTCTTCACACCTTTTCTCTGTTTCACAACGTTCATCAAACTCCACCTCAAAGGATGTGGCACCAGGACAGACAAAGACGGTGGTCTCGTGTCTGCTGTTCTCATAGTTATGAGGTGACTCCATATGCCACGTCCTTAATACAACAGGCTGCTGAGTCTGCTGACAGCCCTCCATATCAACCTACAAACACACAGGGATAAAAACTGATAAATGCATTATTCTTACCAACTGTCATTCAGTTATTAGTGGCTTGGCTATCTTACTTTTTAATTTGGATGTAGAAAACCCAAATGAAATACTCCTTTACATTAGTTTTCAGTCATTTTAATTCTATGTATTTTAACTTAAACGTATCAAACTGTTTAAGACACAGAGTGAACTGACCTTAGAGAAGATGTCCTCTGTATCACTAGACAGCTTCTTGAGCAGGTCTGCCAGAGGATAGAATCTCTTGAGCAGCACACAGTGAGGAATATCCAGAGCGCACAGCTCCAGCAGGAAGATTGTCTAACAACAGCACACAATTGAATCCACACTTAATATATACATACATACAGAAGCATAAATAAATGAATGAATAATTAAATAAAGATTTAGTGGGATAAAGTGGTCTGCTACCAGCTGTCTTGTTGCCATGGCAAGAATGGATCCACTGAGTTTCTCTATGATGTCAGCTCCAGAGAAGCGCTTAATAAGAGGACTCAGTATGTCTCTGGTACCTGACAGGAACTGTTCCACATCTAATATCCAAGAGAAACAATACAGATATATTCACACTTCGTCAGACTACCACAAATAATCACTACTGTTCAAAAGTTTGGGGTCCGTAATTTTTTTTAAGGTAAGGCTGCATTTATTTGATCAAAAAACAGTAGAAATACTAATATAGCAAAAGAATACAATTTAAAAGAATTGTTTTGTATTTTAATATATTTTAAAATGTAATTTATTCCTGTGAAGGCAAAGCTGAATTTTCAGCAGCCATTATTACATCAGTCTTCAGTGTCACATGATCCTTCAGAAATTATTCTAATATGCTGGTTTGGAACACTTCTGATAATTATCAAAGAGTTGTGCTGCTTAATATATGTGTGAAAATCATACTCATTCAGGATTCTCTGATAACAGAAAGTTCCAAAGAACAGCATTTAGAAGATCTCTTGTAACATTATAAATGTTTATAAATTAGTGCTGTCAAACGATTAATCGCATCCAAAATAAAAGTTTTTGTTTACATAATATATGTGTGTGTACTGTATATTTATTATGTAACGTTATATATACACTGAACAAAATTATAAACGCAACACTTTTGTT